TATGTAAGTAATGTGACACAATAGACATGTTTTCATCGAACTTGACTGAGTTTAATTAAAATCAATTACGTCTTGTACGTCGTGTAATTTTTTTTAACTTATCTAAGATTTATATATTTTTTCTCCGCAATATAATTGCATTACATGTGTATTATACATAATATTATTTATCTTTTTATAGATTCGTCATTGTTCCGTTATATGCTACACGTCTATTGGTTCAAAATCGACAGATTGGCTGCAGTATTTTTCCAGAGGAGTAGAAGTGGAAAGAAGTGGAGAGGAACAAATGGCCAGCATAATTAATGCTTAGTCACTTTAGCACAGAAAGCTACATTCTAGTGTGAGGCAAACGTGGATTGGTGATTAGTGAGTTACAATAGATAGATTAGAAAGCGCTCATATGTTTCAAAGGGGATATTCGATGAACGGCGTAACTCTCAGCAAATATTGTTTTTGATTAGTTTAATTTATGCTAAATGAGTAACATACGTGAAAGATGACAGAAAATAAAGAAGAAGACGCTACAAGTCAAGCTCCGGATGGTGGATGGGGCTGGTTTGTTTGCCTCGGAAGCAGTTTAATTGCGGTAAAATATAACAAAGTTGCTATCGCGTATTATTATAAAATTATAAATTGTATAGAATTTTATTATAAAACAAATATTAATAATAATACTAAGGCTCCACTAAATTAACAATTAATATCAGGAGAAAAAGGCGAAAGAATCGTTGCTAGTTGTTCGTGAAATATATTGTATTATAAAATTACACGGACAAACGTTTTTGCCTATGTTCGGTCTTCATCAGTGTCGTTGCAAATAAAACATCGTAATAAACGGTTTACAAGTGTCGATGCATCTTACAAATAAATAAAACAATATACGCAAGATGTTCTTGATGACAAATGATTTCAACGAAAACTTTTTTTCTTATTACAAGATTGTTAATTGGCATTGTTTTAAAGCCGAAACTGTATGTCCAATACAGAATCGTGGAAGAATCAGAGAAATTATTCAACAGAATGCCTTCAGAATAATTTTGGTCTCTGACAGAATGCCTTCAGATTAATTATTTATAACACTGAAGACCTAACATAGACAGAAACGTTTGTCCTTGTAATTTTATAATATAATATATTGCACGGATAACTGGCAACGGTTCTTTTCGCCTTTTTCTCCTAATATTAATTTATTCTAAAAGTTTTACGCATTATCCTTCTAATAATAATGTAAAATTCAGCTTTCTTTACGATCTTTGGATCCATCTTTTGGACTGCTTTTCCAAGATCTACTGGAGAACCTCAATGTCAATTCCACCGGAACATCAGTTATAATGAGCATTTTAGATGCTAGTGTTAATTTTTCAGGTAAACGTCTTGTGTAACATTAAATAAAAAAAACCTGATTGTGTTTACGCATTAAAGAGATTAGTCAGATCATTTAAAATTACAAGTAAGAAATTATTTATTTATTGAAGTATTGATTAACATAAATTTACAGGTTTCTTAGTCGGACCGCTACTGAAAAAGTATTCTTATCGACAAGTCGCATTCTTTGGATCTCTGCTGAGTTGCAGCGGTTTGATACTTACGTCAAGAGCGAATAGTATGCTGTATATTATTTGTACCTACAGTATTTTAGGAGGTATACATAAAATTCTTATAAAAATAATAATTTTATAATGTATATAATTATAAGTAATATTCCAATGTGCTTTTAATGAGTGTTGTTTATTTCACAACAGGCATTGGCACTGGCCTTGCAATGGCTTGCTCCTTCGTCGCGTTAAACACATTTTTCGACAAAAAACGCGGACAAGCTGTGGGCTTTTCGATGGCGGGAACCGCATTGGGAATGATGCTTATGCCGCAGGTGAGGAATATATTGAAAAGAAATAAGTTACTAATAATGAGCAATTTACTCGTACAGCTAGTACACATGCTGCTGGATTTATATGGATTTCGTGGCACAACACTTATTGTTGGAGGCTGTGCGTTGCATTCCATAGTGGGATCGTGCTTATTACGTCCACTTAAGGAACCATTACCGACACCGCCAGCCGAAGTAATTATTTTAATCCATAAAGTACTTAATGGATACAACGGATATATATTTTGCATTTACAATCTTACACTATCAATTTATATATTGAATTACTCAACAGAAATATTAACGTAAGAATATAATATTGAAATCACAAGCAACAATGCGAGATAGAACATATGCAAAATTCTTTCTCAGAAAAAAACCGATGAGGAACGAGAGAGCGAAACATTATTAATGAAAACGAATCCTGCTGGAGCGCGCAGGATGTCAAATGGATCGACGTGGACCAAGGATCAGAACGCGGACGAGCCAAACGTTGAGAATGATTCGTTCTTGAAAAAGATAAAAAAAACTTTTGATTTGGATCTTCTCACGAATTCCACGTACTTAAACGTCTCTCTAGGTTGCAGTATCTTTTATGTGGCAGAGACGAACTTCAAACTAATAACTCCGTTTTTCCTCTCAAATATCGGTGAGTAAGATTAATTGTAAACGTAATCAGTCTCGTAGCCAAGGATGTTCTGTTATTTCGTCGATGATGAGGTACTACGACCGTGAAAATACAGCCGAAATCTATGTTGAAATTAGAAATTATTCGCACACAAATTTATGCCTGTGCCACATTAGAGCGATATTGTAGAGACCTCGATGATCGAAAGATACCGATCTCGACAAACATCCTCGCTACGGCACTGCTCGGGAATTAGATAAACTGCTCGTAGGAACTTGACGATCAACAGGAATGACGAAAAAGGAAACCGCTTTTGTCCTATCCTTGACTGCGTTCGCCGATATCCTCGCCAGGCTACTGCTGCCGACACTTTTCGACAAATTCGGCTGGAAGAAGCGCTTGATCTTCTGGGTGTTCTGTCTGCTCATTGGAATCGCACGCTCCAGTAATTTTTTCATTAAAATCTAAAAGTTTAACTATTAAATGTTGCAAGAAAATATACAAATTTTCTTATTACACAGCATTGGCGGAACAATCGGAAAGGATGCTATTGATCGTCATGTTTGTAATCGTCGGATTCTTGCGTGGCGCTACGTTGGTGAATTTTAATCTCTGCATATCGGAATGTTGCACCTTGAAAATGCTGCCGAGTGCCTTTGGAATATTCTTTGTGTTTAAAGGATTGGGCATAATCATTATGAGTCCTTTAATCGGTATGTTGTGTGTGATTTGAGTGTGTGATAATTAATACATTTTAATTACTTAATAAAAATAATATTAAATATTAATTTGATATTTACTTTATGTTAAAAAAGGATACGTCAGAGACGTTACCAACAACTACAGGATTTGCATTCATATAATGACTGTTATGATACTTGTCACATTTGTCTTGTGGAGCATTGAATTTATATACATTGCCTTTCGTAAACGACGACTTGCCATAGCTAGAAAATTACAAATGCATATAAGAGAATAATAGCTTAAATTAATAATAATTGTGTAATAATAAAGCGTATATATGTTTATCAAGCAAACCTAGCTTTTATAAACTCTAAGAAAAATAAAATAATTTTGTCCAAATGTTTTTCTCTCAATTAATAATTCCTTATAATTAATGAATCATTATTTATTGTAAAATAATCAATCAATCATGGTTAAAATTTCTGTTTAAACAAACAGTTATTTGTTTGTTTAAAAAAAAATTATTTTCCTGCATTGAGTAAAGGATCAAAATTTTTTCCGCGTAGACTTTATAATATGTGATATCACGAAAGCATTAATGCCATCTTATCTATCGCTGATGAGATGCTGTTTTCACAGGTGCAATAAACTGGTTTCTTGTAGTATTTTTATCGAAGAAGGAAACTTTGCCGTCGAATCTGTTGTTTGTTCTACACACGAATAAATGGACTTATTACTTTTTTTTTAAACTCCAAATTAATCAAATAATTTGCAGATAAAGAATAACTTGATAGATGTAAAATACCTACAATCAATATTTTTACATTTTTTAATTACATTTTTGTTACAATCTGCTTTTTATATAATGCTACAAGGTTTTTTTTTGTTATTATAGCGTAATAAAATCGCGCCTTATATAACATATTGCTATTCGTGTCATTGCACTTATAAGAGAGATAATGAAATGCGCTGATTAAGTCACACAGAGCACAAAGAAGCGACTGCAAATAAAATTCACCGAGCACGGCACTGCGTGCATTCGCGCTCGCGAACGAAAACGCGGTTGTTAGGAACGATCACGCTTGATCTCAAATAGAGCCGCGGAGCCGGTATCTATCGCGCTTCCTCCTCTTCGAGCCAGTCTCAGAACGCCCACAGCTTGTGTCAGAACATATTGCTTTTGCGTCTCAAAACATCTGTGTCGCCTTATGGTGCATTTAAAAAGTGTTCGGCATTTAAATGAATTAAAACTTGACGCGCGTGAGTGTTAATATTGTCTATTGTCAAGCCAATATATGTGGTGTTGAAAAATATTTATATTATAATTGGCATTAAACAATATCTTTTGACAATTGCTTGTCAGCATAGAAACTTTGAAATTTAGATATTAATTTTTTTTGGTTGCCAACTAAACAGCTTACAAATGGAGAACACTTAAGTCGTTAGTACGTAAAGAAATTATTGTAGAATACTGATAAAGAGCTGATTAAGAACGTAAGAGATAAAAAGCTAATCATACTATTTGTTCTAATCATTTTTTATATTTTTTAATGATTGCTTGCCAGCCGAGAGACTTAAAAAATCGAGAGAAAATTTTAATTTGATTATCAAGTAAATAACTTGCGAAAAAAAAGAACACACACACACATCTGAATCATTAATGTAGATAAACTACTTATTTAACAATTAAACAAAATTTTTATTTAAGTTTTCAAATCTGTGCGTTGACAGACAAATAAATCATCGAAATAAAGCAGCAAAAATTATTAAGCATACGTAAAAATTACAATATATTACACAATTTTTATATTACACAAAACATAGTAATTAATCTAAAAGTATTATTATCAATTTATTATGTAAAAAATATTTTTGTTTAATATATAACTATTATAACGTAGATGTAGATTAAAACGGTGGGAACAAGCATTATCTCAATTTGATTCAATTGATTTCATTAAATGTAATTGTATTTATAGCGACGAATGTGTGATAATAACAATTTACTACAAATATATCATTTTCTCTTTCTCTTTCAACTCTTCACGACATTCTAGCTTCAATACAATAATAAAACTGAAATCAACACTATAAATGCATTTGTATTGATAAAGACAACATTATTCTTGAGAAATATGCGTTTTTTAATACTTTGATTTTTTCTGGCAGCAAAAAAAATACAAATTAATAGTTTTCTAAATTTTTATCATCTCGTAAATGCAAATATGTACATATGACGTATAAAAACCAAAGTTGAAGAAACTTTGTCCATTTCAACGCGTATCTTATCACTTGATTAATCTAAACTTGAAACCATCAGAACGATTAGGTCTGCAGTCTGCCGATAATATGAACGCAGGATACAGCTGAAAGTCTCTAGAAACTGCAAACTTCCATATAATATCTGCAGAACGGGATTGATTAGGATTGATACAACAGAATGGCACGTGGCGAAATAGATCGGGGCTGGGCATGGGCGATTGTTGTCGGTGTGACTGTTATCAATGTAAGCCCTTTTTTATTAGATTGCCATAGAGAAGCGTTATCATTTCTTGCTGATACAGAGAGTGTCTCCATTTTAATTTTCGATCTTAATTTTAATGGCAAATTTATCTATTAATATGACATCAAAACTATTTTAATGAAAAATTATGAAAACAATGACGGATTATTATCATAAGAATGACAAATTATTAAAACTTATTAAAATATTAATTAAAAATTTGTAAAAAATTTTTTTAACATAAAGTTCACAATTTTAAAATAATAATGTTATGTCGATATTAGCAGTGATGTTTTATCATTATTCAATACTTTGTAATTAGCTTTCGATTAAAAATTTAATTAATGTTATTTTTATATTAGAATATTTGAACTTTATTCTTTTGAAATTTTGAAACATTTAATAACGTATTTGCAACGAATACATGCTATTATGTAGATAAGATAAATTTGATAATGTAAATACAATAAATTTTATCTGTTCTCTGTATTATGTTCTCTGTTTCATATTTCAATAAAAAATCACAGCTTGAATTTTACTAAAATCTATATATGTATAACTATATAGACATATATGTTATACATAAAATATGTTTATTTAATTCATCTTTTATATTTTCTGAAAAATGTTACGAGATATTTTGCAAAAACAACAGCGATATTATGTAGATGTTACAAAGTTAGTTCTTTATAAAACTAATTTCTTATGATTATTCTCAGTTAGCTGTGCTTCCGATCCAGCAATGTTTCGGGCTTATCTTCGCAGAACGTTTCACGCGTCTTGGCATTACCGCGACGAAAACAAGCTTAATTCTTCATCTAAATGGGACAATTACGTGCAGTCTAGGCCTGATAAGCGGTCCTACGATGAAGAGATTCACCTTTCGTCAAGTCGCATACTTCGGCAGCCTGACGGTTGTTTTCGGAATATGCACAACTGCCTTCGCCGTGTCTCTTCCGACTATTGTTATCACTTATTGCGTTATCATTGGTAAATAAATCAAATTAATTAATAAAGTCCGAATGAAGTTCATAACATGGCATGCTATTTAACCATTTGTGCTAAGAATCACTGAATTCTGAGCAAGAAATATTTTAAAAAATGATATAATTGTAGTTTCAAAGGAAACTTTGGAACATTGGCTGCTGCAACTTACTTCTTGCACAGCATTTTTGTTCAGTATTTAATAATTACGAACGATGAAGCAACGCACTGCATTACAGCTTTGATCCGAGATTAAGTCGTTAAAATTGCTAGAACAAAAAATAACATAATTGAGTCTAAAATTACTAAAATAATTGAGGAATCTATATTTTACAAATTTAAGTTTGCATAAAACATCGAATATACATCAACAAAAATAAGATACAAATTTTATTTAGAACGCTTCTAAGTAATTTATTAGATATTATTTTTGTTTAAAATAATAACATTATTTACAAAACACATATATTTAAGGTATTGGCCAAGGAATCATTTATCTAGCGACAACCTTAGCTCTGAACACATACTTCCGCAGGAAGCGAAACATAGCTATGGGTTTCGCGGTTACGATGACCGGTTTGGGTCCGATCTTGATGCCACTTTTAATAGACAGATTCCTTGAGACTTACGCCACTACTGGCACTCTCTTGATTCTTGCTGGGATCGCCGCACATTCCCTTGTCGGTGCATCTCTATTAAGACCATTTCAAGAGCAGAAAGAGGTGAGTTAAAGGTACGTGAGAAAAGCAATCTAATTTTTCTCTTTCCCATTTTATATATTTTTATCATTAAATATATCACAATAGACAATAAAATTATTTTTAACAAACTTCTTCCATTCCTTGCAGATTATTTCGGCAGAAGCTACTGACCTGCTAATTGAAAAAAATAATCCAAAAAGTCAAAATAGAACAGAACATACTGAGGGTAAAGTAGAATTAAAAAATAATACTATCGAGATCGCTGAAAAAATAAATCAACCAAATAATCGTGTAAATGATGAAGTAAAATTGAAAGAAAGCAAAAAAACATTGTTCTTCAAAAAAATTAATACCAACTTGGATCTCGATCTTCTTCGTGATAGTCGTTACGTAGCGGTAGTATTAGGTAGATTCAAAATAATTAAATTCACACAGAGGTTTTACTAAAATCAAATTAATTTTGAGATGACGTATAACTTTAAAAAATAGGTATGGGAATGTCATTGGTAGCCGAGACAAATTTCAACGCAATGATACCTTTCGTTCTGGCCGAATTAGCGAGCCTCGACAGAACATCGATAGCTACAGTGATGTCAGTTCAAGCCGCTGCGGATATCATAGGACGTTCGTGTGTGCCGTTGCTGGCGCAACGAGCGAGTTGGACCTGCCGAAATCTTTATGTGATATCACTGCTGGGATCGATCCTCGGGAGGACTAGTACGTACCGCCAGATAAAGTATACGAACACGAGGAGTGTCTTCACGAATGCCGACGAATCCGCGATATGTGGGGTGGGTTGACAATCAGCTAAGCGTATTGTACAATAATCATAACAAGCGCACCGCGAAACGCGCAGTTCACGAAAGTTCTAACATTTATATTATGACATTTTAATATTTAACATGATATTTATCTGATTTAACAAAATTATTCATTTTTCAGTGTTTCGTGTAAACTTTTATGGCTGGATTTTATAAATTAGCACTGGATGTGTCTCTTCATCTCATTTATTTTTATAATATCTCACGTATCACACACGTATCACACATTTCAGATGTTAGATTATATCACATTATCTTATGCATTCTCATATCGTTCCCTTATTGCACTCGCAACAATCTGTCACAGCAAATGTGCAACTACCGAGCCTCGAGGCGATCCTCGTGCGCAAATTTTTAAAAAATTATTGTTATTCTTTTCGTGTTAACTTTATCTCGGTATTTAGAGTGGAATTTCAACTTTATGACTCTGCAATCTTTAGAATATTTAATCAATTTGTTGCATTTTTTTTACATTAAATAAAAGTAAGTCAACTTTCAAATTTTTAATTCTGCGCGTCTTTCTAACAATCTCATATCTTTTTGACAGTTCTGTCGACGTGGGGTGACTTCTATGTCGGTGTGATCGGAGTATCCTTGATTGTCGGCCTGGCAAAGGGAACCAGGGCTGTCTTTCAAGCTCTAATTATTCCCGATTACGTACCATTGGAGAGGCTGCCGGCTGCATCCGGTATCCAGATGGTTTGTAACGGTGTTCTGTCTATCAGCGTGGGACCAATTATCGGTAAACTCAATAAATATCATAAATTTATTGTGTTAACTAATTTATAATTTTTGAATAATTAGTTTAAGCTTTAATTATTCATGAGACGACATCATTTAATTACATTAAATATTTTCCAAGGTTTGGTTCGCGATTCAACGGACAGTTACGTGGGTGCGCTTTATTTTACATCCTTTCTGAGCTTGTGTTGTGTCTTTCTATGGACGATAAGTGGACTTTGGAATCCCGGTGGAAACGTCTTAAGATTGAACCAACGCAATTCATTAGCAGAACAAGAAAATTCTCGTGAAAATACGTAATATTAAATTTCTAATTATATCTGCAGATTTTAGTGGTATAAAGAATTTATATGCATAAATATTATCAACTTACTATAACAAGATGTATCTTTATTAGAATCACAAATATGCCAAGTAATTGTAGAAATTTTCAATTTGTAAAGGTATCAGTTTATCACACGCAGTACCGTGCACCGTATACACTATCTAGAAAACCTGAAGTATAAAATATTTGCTCTATTTTAATATGAATACTAAAGTGTTTAAATTTAAAATACTTAAAAATGGATTAAGTAATTAGCAGAAAGAATGTTGAATATGAAAATTACACCGTTAATGTGAAGCATATTGCACTGAAGAATAAAAGAATTGACGATAACGATGATGGCGTATTTAAAATATAAATGAGATGAAATAGGCATATAAGTATTTATATTTCTGCAATGAAAATGTATCAATTGCAATATTATATTTTATATATTTTATTTATAAATAAATTAGAAAGATGCTTATATTTTATCGATGTAATTATTGATATAGATCATAGTATTAATTATATTAACTATAAACTTCATTAATATTGTGTACATTATTTCTCAAAACATTATTTATCTGCGTAAAGAATACACAGTAATGCTTCTCTCCTCCCTTCAACTCTTTCTCTCACACTCTCACACATGGGCTCTTGTTTTCTCAAAATTGTTTACTATACATATTTCGCATCAGATCCTACCGCTTGTCTTGAAAACTGTTAGGTAGGTTTGAACGTTGTCAGTATTTACATTCAAACAGAAAAACTGTACGTCTCTTTCCACGACCTTTTCGATCAGACACTTTTCAACGAATTAATGCTCGCATCGTGTTCAGTTAATTACGTTCTATCATACAGATCAGATCACAATGTCTTGGGAAGACCGAACTAAAAAACTGTACAGTTGGATAACGGAAAAATTTACAAAAGAAGATAATTTTACAGCACAGTGTAAAATACAATCTTGCAGAAAGACTGTCAAATACGTGCAGTGTAGTACAATACGTAAAAAAACTTTTAAGAAACACGTAAAAAACAAGCATCGAGATTATTATACGCATGAAGAAAATAACAAGAATAACGGAGACTGGAAATTTTTTAGGCTGACAAGAGAAAAAAAGACAGAATGTATTTTATGTGATACTGACCCAATTGACTTTTCGCTAGATTGTTTATCGGAACACGTAAAAAAGCATTTAGAACGAGAACAAAATCTAAGACGTCATAAATTGGAAGATTGGATTTGGAAATACTTGAAACAAATTGAAGATTTTTCTGCTGAATGTAAGCTTTGTACAAATGAACCAGAAATTGTAAAATTAGATTTACATGATAATGGGTTAAAACTGCACACGAAGCAACATGAAAAAAAGTGCCAAAAAGAGTTACCAGGTAAACAATCTTGGAAATATCTAACTGAAAAGCACTACTTTTTGAATAAATGTTATTCAAAGTTTGCGAATTTTCGAGCAAAATGTCAATTTTGCCAATCCACAATTGCATATGTCAAGCGTCAATCGCTTAGAGAACACGTACAGAAACATACAATTACTTTCGGTCTTGAAGAGTCTAAAGACTTGGTGAATGACGCTTACTGGATATATTTTAGATTTACGAAACAAGAAAAAAAAGATGAAATAGAATGTATTATATGTGAAAATACTGTGTCAAATGAATGCCAAATCAAGAAAAATCACATAGAAAATTATCATAAGACAACAGATTTCATGTTCTATGAACAACACAATTGGGTTTTTAAATACGCAAAACTGAAAGAAGATATTGCAAAATGTACCATTTGTGAAGCAACTATAAACTATCATTTGGATATAAGTCTTTTAAGACGACATATGCCAAAACATCCAACCGATTGGAAGAGAATACAACAAGAAGAAATATTTTGGAAATTGCAAACTAAAAAACACAGTTGGTTGCAAAAATGTTATACAGATGCTGGGGATTTTCGAGCACAATGTAAATTTTGCGATTGCAATAAAACATATATCAAGCATGAACAATTCATAGAACACATCAGGCAAGCCCACAATAATGTTCACGACTTTGAACAGTGTAATCCAAGTAAAAACGCAGATCAGTGGAAATATGTAAGGTACACAACAAATGACTTTGGAACGGAAGAAACAAAAGTAGAATGCATGATATGTCAAGAAATGGTCTCACTACCTCATTTAAATCATTCTGCAGAAAAGCTAGAATCCTATTCCCAACATTGGGCACTTAAATACGCGAGACAAGATGAATGTTTTGCGAAATGCACGATATGTAAAGATAAAGTAGACTTTGAATTTGACATGGACAATTTAATACACCACATGTCATTTGTACATGACGAGGAATGGGAAAATATAGATCAAAACGATTTGGAGCAAGGAACAGCACACGATCAAGCTGGACCGTCGACAAGCCACGCAAACTGAAAGAAAAATGATCGTAAGTTTCAATCATATTTTATTAATTATTACTTTTCATTAATATTTATCATTACATTTTATTTTTTCAGTTGTATATTGAATCAAAATATGATAAAAAGAGCAAAAACTAATTAATTAATATTGGTTTTTTATATATTACAAATGTTTATATAGATTTAGCTACATTTGACAATGGAAATGATGATAGCGACAATTTTAAGTAGCATCTCATGACCAGCGACAACGACAATCTTGGCATAAATGATTTGAAATACATGAAGACAATGGCGTACAATTTTACTTATTTGTGGCATATCGGTTTTGTGTTTATAAATGTACAAACTTTGTAAATTTAAATATATGTATATTTATAATATTACAATTTAACCAAATTGTATAAATTTATAAAATTATATATATATTTATACTTATTATTTTAAAATAGAATATTCTTTAAATTATATTTTAAAATTAAATACTGGGTTAACATATTTATAAAAAACTAAACCGATTTCATGAATACAACAAATTTTTTCTGTAGTGACGAATCTTTGAGTGACATACTCAATACATATGTATATGTATAACAAAACACAGATAATTAGTACTTGTTCGAAATATGTTACAAATGTTTATGTAAATTTTATCGAATCGCATTTTGTAGCTTAAAACAGATACAATGTTCACGTCACTCAATATTTGAAGAAGGAATTTTCTAATTATATATTTTGAAATTCAATATAAAGATATTATTTTTTCAAATGTATTTTTATGAAAAAAGTGGACGTCAAAATCTTTAGCAAATTAACGACTGTGTGAAGAAAGAACTGGAGGATTATAAGTATATGTCGTAGTTGTATAGAAGTATTGCTTTTTTGTGCATAAAAAGACAGTAATTCTCCAAATCCATGTACAAAATGTATATTTCTTCAGTACGTTTTTACCATGCTTGCGTAAATACTTTTTGAAGAGTTTGAACGTCTACATTTTATACTGCATAAAATGATTTTGAATAATTATGTAAAAAGTAAAATTTTGGATGTATTGGTAAATGCGCAAGAAACAAACATATTGTCCATGTTATTAAAAATCATAACTTGAAGGCGAATGTGACAATTTTGAACAAAATTACAGATAATTCGAACAGATGTACGTTTTGCAAAAATAAATATTATTACATTAAATTTTTTAATATTTGTAAACATATAAAAAAACATATAAAAATTTTTAAATACAAAGAGAAGAGAAAAGTACAAATACCCGCCGGACATATGTATTATATCAACAAATTTCAACAAATTATGTTTACAATATATTATCTGTGCAAATGTTCCGTCTACATTTGAATCTTTAATAAATAATGCATTAATATTCTAAAGTACTACGTGTCATTTTATGTATATTTTGTGCCATTTTTTTTTATTATTTGAATGTTATGCTTTGCTCATATAAAAATTCCTCGATCATGATTAATGTTGTCTTAAAGTTTTATCAGCATATACTATAATATAACTAATATAAATAATATAGATATTAAATGTAACACTTCTTTACACTTTTACAAATTTTTCTCATATTGTTTTTGATTATATAATTTAGTAGAAATCTTCCACAATGCTATGTGGAAATCTTTTGGCATTTCTACATATCTTTACTTTATTATATAATAATTTTTCCTGAAGAATTTTTCATAATTTATCATAATTTACTTTTCATAAACTATGATCAAATTAGATTATTCTCAGTTAACTGAGCTTCGATTTAGCAGTTTTTCGGGCTTATTTTCGCGGAACGTTTCACGCGTTTTGGCATTTCCGCGACGCAAACAAGCTTAATTCCTCATCTTAATGGAATAATTACGTGTAGTCTAAGCCTGATAAGCGGTCCTACGATGAAGAAATTCACCTTTCGTTAAGTCGCATACATCGGCAGCCTGACGGTCGTTTTTGAAATATGTACAACAGCCTTCGCCGTGTC